ATCCACCACGATTGCCTGTACATCGAGTAATCTTCCTCAGCTCTCCTGTTACAGCGGCCCTATCATCAGACAACTGAAAGGCCCGTTGAAGCTCTCCCAAGCTCCAACACATCAGTCACGGCAAAATCTGTCCCTGACTCGTCCTCGGTCCCTACCGGCTCCCACTGCAGACGCACACTGCCGGATCCTAGAACATATTGAGAACAAACACTCTCCGTACTCAGCAAGAAATTTTCTGGAGATGTTCCAACAGCTAGAATACTGGTTCTCCTGAAATTTTCTGGAGATGTTCCAACAGCTAGAATACTGGTTCTCCTGACCCACTGTCTTCTAGGTAACTTGGCTGAAGCACCTCTTGAGCTCCCACTGCCATAAATACCTCTGACTGGCCCCCTTGAACCTTTCCACGCTCGTTCATCCTGAGTCTGACCTGTGGCTCTAGGTTTCTCTCTTGCATAGACAACCTTATTCTGCCCACGAGACTCTGTGAACCGGACTTTGTTTCTCTTTTGAACTGGGGCGGTCACTCCCTCAGATGGTAACTCGACCATATACAACGAACCACTCTTCCTTCCGCGGGCCATGACAAGATTTCCCTTCACAACCTTCCACTGCCCATCTCTGAACTTCACCTCGTGTCCCTGTTCGTCCAACTGCCTGACAGAAATCAAACTTTTCTTCAAGGCTGGAACCACTCTGACATCCTTCAAAGTCCAAAGACCGACTGAGGTCTTCAACACCATGTCACCCATGCCCGTCACCTCAAGAGCCCTATCGTCTGCAAGTCGTACCTTTCCAAAGTCTCCAACAACCAGATTCTGTAATACTTCACCGCTGTGGGTAGCATGAAATGAAGCACCAGAATCCATGACCCAGGAATCCACATTGCTCTCCGCACAACAAGTAAGAAGGACCTCTTCATCACTCGCGGAGCCTTCAGCAATGTTCACTTTCTTGTCATTCGGGCATTGATTCCTATAATGCCCCACCTCCTTGCACTTCCAGCACGTTACACCTGAGCTGTCACGAGTCTTCGACTGACTCCTTTGTCTGTTCCTGCTCCCACTACCTCTGTTATTTTTTCTGCCTCTACCAACATGAAGCAATTCACCAGATGACTCCCCCGAACTCTTTCTTCTGACATCCTCGCCAAGAACGAGATCTCGAATCTGATCAAAGGTGAATCCATCAGGTCCCACTGAACCGGTAACCGCTGTAACCGTTCCGGACCAACTAT